TAATGCTGTGGTTTTATTACACAGACCTTGTCTGCATTCAAAAAAACCCCGGAAAGGTGCACTGGCGTAGTAATAATTAAATAGACTCGCCGTGTGTGATACGTGGCCTGAGCACCAAGGTCATCCTAGTCATTGCACTGGTGTTGCCCGGTTGTGTTTCGGTTCTGCTTTTGTGTTTCAGCAGTTCTGTTTTCTTACCCGCTTGCTTTGTACACCTCAGCCACTGAGCCAGGGTCCTCGAATTAACATTCCCATCGTGCAGGTATGAATGATTCCGAAATGTAAAGGCACTTGAGAACGAAGCTCGTTTTAAAGCAGTCTTAGCTGCTAAAAGCAGGTTTTTTTCCTTTCTGCTTCTAGTTGAATCTCTGTGCTTGGAACTGAACAGCCTTCTCTCTGCTCTGTAATCATAGGTATAGAAAAATGGAAAACTGTGGCCAAGACTAGCAATCACATGATAACACAGCAGCTTTTATTTGCTACATCTGGAAACTTACCTTGCAAGTAGAGGGCTTTTATCTCGGCTCAGGTGTTGAGCCATTGCTCTGCCTGTCCTGCTAACAGCCTCAGAACCTGTTCCCATCTCCCTTCTCTCCGGCCGTACTGGCCATGTTTGACTTGGCGCTGCATATGGGCAGACTTTTGAAATTGTAAGGAGAGGGGGGTTTTTTTTGGTGTTTTGTGGGTTTTTTTTAAAGTTCATCATGAGCAAAGTATTACCATATGTTTCAGATGCTTTATTTGATATACTGGACTTCTCAGATTTTCCACAATCATTATATTTTTTTAAAGCAACTTAAGCAAGATGAAAAAATGTTCATATCACCTAGGATTCCTTTATCTTGTCCTTCTTAGGCTGTGGCTTTAGATTTAATAATAATGTAGGCATTGGTACTACCTAAAGATGGAAAATAGTACAGATGAGAAAGCAGAGAAATTAATGGTTAGGCTTCCGTAAAAAATCTAACGCTTCCCTTGTTAGGCATGGCAGCTTACTCCATTTTGAATTAGCACAAGCCTTACTCAGTGCAGCATGATGCTTGTCTTAACTAGTTAGATTTAAAGCTTATTCCTTGTAAGATTTTCTTGGAGGTGGTACATGTCCGTGTCTGCATCTGCACTAATTGTGTTCAAAGCCCAAGTCGTGTCATTAGGGACAAATTCAGACTCCTATCCTGCTTGAGGTGAGGTGAAGGGAATTTGACAAAAACACACACTACCCTTCTCCACCCTCCCCAAAAAAATGCTGTGTATGCATTTGGGCAAACAGAGGGAAGGGATGCCATCCAGAGGGACCTGGACAGGCTGGAGAGGTGGGCCACTGCCAACCTCATGGAGTTCAACAAGGCCAAGTGCAAGGTCCTGCACCTGGGTTGGGGAAATCCCAAGCACAAGGACAGGCTGGGTGGAGAGTGGATAGAGAGCAGCTCCGAGGAGAAGGACTTGGGGGTACTGGTGGGTGAAAAGCTGAACATGAGCCAGCAGTGTGCGCTGGCAGCCCAGAAAGCCAACCGTATCCTGGGCTGTATCAGGAGAAGTGTGGCCAGCAGGTCTAGGGAGGGGATTCTGCCCCTCTACTCTGCTCTGGTGAGACCCCACCTGGAGTGCTGCATCCAGCTGTGGAACCCACAATATTAAGAAGGACATGGACTTGTTGGAGCGAGTCCAGAGGAGGCCATGCAGATGCTCAGAGGGCTGGAGCACCTCTGCTGTGATGAAAGGGTGAGAGAGTTGGGCTTGTTCAGCCTGGAGAAGAGAAGGCTCCGGGGAGACCTTATTGCAGCTTGCCAGTACCTGAAGGGGCCTACAAGGAAGCCGGGGGAGGGGCCTTTTTACAAGGGCCAGTAGTGACAGGACAAGGGGTAATGGCTTTAAATTGAAAGTGGGGAAGTTTAGATGAGATATCAGGAAGAAGTTCTTCAAGGAGAGGGTGGTGAAGCACTGGAACAGGTTGCCCAGAGAAGCTGTGGATGCCCCATCCCTGGAAGTGTTCAAGGCCAGGCTGGATGAGGCTTTGAGCAACCTGGTCTAGTGCAAGGTGTCCCTGCCCATGGCAGGGGGGGTGGAACTAGATGGTCTTTAAGCTCCCTTCCAACCCAAACTGTTCTATAATTTAATCCATAGCAAAGACTGACAAGCCCAAGTGAGATCTGCAGAGCCCAGGAGACCTCCTGAGCCAGTATTGTGGTGCCAGCCCTCGGCATGAGGAGCAGCATTAGGATGACCTCTCTTGTCCTTTGGGAGTGGTGGGCACAAGGTGCAGTTGCTGGAGCCCCCTGGGCTGCCTGCTCGCCTGGGGTGCCTGGGGCTTCCCCACCTAATCCCAGGGAGAGCTTTTCTTGGGCTGTTTTTATTCTAGCTCTCCAAGCTGCGGCCACCTCTGGACGGCAGAGGGAGGGACATCAACAGGTCCCTCCTGTGGTCCAGCTTGCGTTTCACTTGCTGCTTCGTCCCTCACAGCAAGGAAAATAAAAGAGAAGACCAAGGAGGAAACACAAAAATACAGAGAAGTGTTTAATTTTATGTAGTATAAAAGAGAGAAAGTACAATTCCTTTTTCAAGATACATTACTTTTGTTTTGGGGGAGGAGAGACAGTTCCCTTTGCATGGGAAACACCATCTTTAAATTGCAAATGTTTACTGTCCCGAGGCATAGTAGTTGGTACAGGTGTCCTGCAAAGGACTTTCACACGGGTCTCTGCCCTGCAAGATTTGCTCTCAAGTGCAGCTTTTGACAGGAGCCCTAAATAAACCAGCGCTTAAAATCAGCGTGTTGCACAGCTGATGGAGGCGAGGGAGTGTAAGATGGATGAGGCGCACCTCCCGGACGTGTGGGGGGGCTGGCTGCTTGCCCAGAAGCGCTGGCTCCGGTCAGCCCAAATCCTGGGGGTACCGTGGCAGGCGCCGGCTCTCCCAGTAGCTCTGTGGTCCCATCAGTGGTATCTGCGCTGGCCCTGTCACGCAGGGGGAGATACAGCCGCTGCACTGGGTTACTGGTCTGGGGGAGGTCAGGCACATCGGGGACCCCGGAGCTGCCTCAAGACACCCCAAACTGAAGGTCCGTGTACCTCTGCAGAGCAGCTGGCCCCACAGACGGCCGACGACACTCACGGTGTGCAGGAGCACTGCTTGCTTTCACGCGAGGCACTTTCGTCGCCTGTAAAGAAGAGTTTATTTCAGTAGCCTGCAAGTTTTTGAGGTGACTGCTGTAACCCTTTAAGCAGTTTGGGTGGCTGTGCGTGTTTGTTTTCACTGGATGCTGCTTTGCATCACGGGGTAGGTGCTGTCAAGTGAGCTGGAGGAGAGCCGTAGATCCTGGCGCTGGGGGAATGCTACCTGTTGGCGTTCCCCGCCCCTCACCAGCCACTGTTGTCGTATTAGGAGACCCAAGTGAACGTTTGCTTTGTAAAGGGCATCGGTTCAGTGTCCAATGGAATGCAGGGGCTATGCTGGCAATGATTATAAAGGTAGGATGCAAGTGAATTGACAGGGGAGGTAAAACAGACTGAACCTCCAGCACAGAATATTTATGTCCCAGCCTTCTGGGTGCCGTGATAACGAAGGCCGTGTTACATACACTTCACACTTGCTTCTTTCACCACTCAGGGACTCCGCGTCCAATTGCTTTGTGGGTGAATTGGTTCTGTCTTCATTTTCAGGGAATAAAGAAAGGTCTGTGGAAGTTTATGTAGTGATAAAAAGAACAACAATGGGAGTTTGTTAGGGACAGGACAGGGAGGGAGTGGTTTCAGGAATTTGTCAGAAGTCATGTCTAATTGCAGGATGTTTTTTTAATGAGTAGGCACATGTCCTTTTCCTTGATGTGGAGGGTGAAGATAGTATGGGGAGAAGTCAGGGCGATGCATGTGAAAATCTAGCACGTATAATACTCACACTGACAAAATCTGACTGCTTCACATTCACTGGTGGTTGCTTCTGCGAAGCTCATACTTTGGTTGCAGGCTGGAGCTGTAACCACAAGGAGCTGTGTCGAGTGAAGCTGCGTGTCACTAGTTGAATGCAGAGTGGCCGTGAGCTGTAATGCTGCCGAGCTCAAATCCCAGACGTTTTTAAGGCAGTAGGCTCGTTCGTTGACACGTTGGCCAAACGTTGCTGCGTAGTCCTTACTGCCTGCAGCATAGCTGCATTTCCAACACCTCTGATTGTTCAGCCCAGGTCTACTTTATGTGAGAAGCGTTTTTTTAGCTGAATTTGGGATTGGAGAACTTAAGAAAAGCAACAAATAGTAGCAATGAAGTATGGGTAGGAAAAGACTTCGTTTCTTCATTTTTCTTTGGGGCACAGTGTCTGTGAAGGGGATGGAGAGCGTCAGAAGCGCTGAACTTCCTTTCAGGTCTTCCTCCTCTGACCCTCCTCCCCTTCAAGGAGCATTAGTTTTTCTTTTAAAACAGTATATTTCTCATAACAGCTGTGAGAAAAATCAGTTCAAGTTTATGGAAAGGTGGTGTGGAGAAGATTTGTACGTGGATATTTGAGTAGTATGCACTGCTAACGTTTTAAGCAGTAGTTAAAAAAAGTGCTATTTATACATCTGCAGCTGCTTGCTACTTAGGTCTGATTTAGCCTCTCCTGTCACTGATTTTTTCTGAATGTCTTTTATTTTAACAGTACTTTTTAGTAAAAATGAAACGGTGTCAAGCCACTGAAATATTTTATGTTGGGCTACGGGAAGGTTGTCAGAAGGCTGGGGTCTCAGCTGCCACTTCACCCTCGGCCCACGTGGGATGCTCAGTTCCCACGCACTATATTGGTTAAACTTCCAGTGAACTTAATAGACAGAAAGTGGTAGAAAGTGGCTGTGATTGAAATGGCCTTTCTGTGATGGTAGGTTTTTGACACGCTGTGGCTTCGTTTTGCATTTAGCAGGTTCTTAGTATCATGGGATGAGAGGAAGGACCCTGGCCTAATGCGGGAAGAATGTCGTTCTTAGGCTCGCAGTGGCCAGTAAGTAATTTCTGTTTCATTCTTCACCTTTGCAGGTGTGACATCTGTTGTATCACCTTTCGTACTCACCGGGGCTTACTGCGCCATAATGCAGTTATCCACAAGCAGCTTCCCAGAGATCCCATGGGAAAGCCTTTCATTCAGAACAACCCGTCGATACCAGCAGGCTTCCACGACTTGGGATTCACGGACTTTTCCTGCAGGAAGTTCCCCCGCATATCTCAGGTATACTCTGTTCTTCATAGCTTAGCATACCAGCTGATGGTGCGCATTCTGAATTCATTGAAAGGCTAATCCTTGAGGAGGCAGAGACTGGGTTTAGAGTATTTTGTGGAAAGCACATTACCACTGTCTATGTAGGCTTCAAACACTTCCTGCTTTTCCTTTTTCTTTTTTAATCTAAAGAATATTTGGTTTGGTTTGGTTTGGTTGTGGGGTTTTTTTTTTTCCCCAGCATTCCAGTGGATAAATATTGGTGTAAAGATCTATAAAATATTTTAAAGGAAAACTTGGGTGGTCTTAGGTCCTTGCCCCTTCCAGCTTGCCCATTAGTTCTCACCTTCCCTAAACCATCCCACATCTAAAATCAATAGGGAGGTATGCTGGTTTTAGTTGGGACAGACTTAATTTTCCTCACAGTAGCTAGCATGAAGACTATGTTTTGATTGTGCTGAGAAGAATATTGATAACACACTAATGTTTTTAGTTGTTGCTAAGCAATGTTTACATCAGCTCAAGGACTTTTTCAGTTTCTGATACTGTACCTGTGTTCCCAGCTTCTTGTTCCTTCTTCTCTATGAGAAGCTAGGAGAGGACATAGCCAGGACAGCTGACCCAAACTGGCCAGAGGGACATTTCACTCCATAATACGTCATGCTCACTATATAAGTTGGGGGGCAGGCTGGGTGTCTCTCTCTCTCTCTCTGGTTTGATCTGGCTCTGGCTCTCGCTGCACAGGAACTGGCTGGGCATCAGTCTGGGAGTGGTGAATGGCTGTATCATTTGCTTTCTCTTCCATTATTTTCATTGCTTATTGTTAGTAGTAATATTAGTAGTATTAGCATTGTCAGTATTACTGGTATCATTATTTTATGTCATTTATTTTCAATTATTAGATTGTTCTTATCTCAACCCACAAGTTTCCTTGTCTTTTCCTCCAATTCTCCTCCCCATGCCCCTGGAGAAGGGTGAAGGTGAGCGAGCAGCTGTGCGATACCTGGCTGCTGGCTGGGGTTAAACCACAACAGTCCTTTTTTGTGCCCAGCATGGGGCTCGAATGGTTTGAGATGATAACAGATTGATCAGAGCATACTAAGGGATTTTTATCTATTAACAGTTGCGGGTCATGATATTAGTTTATTTGATTTGCATTAGGCTCTCATCTCTGCTGTACATGTTAAAAATTGGTGTTGGCGTTTGTAGGCTGATGTGCTCTGCAGTGATTAGTGATGTTTTTCCTGGGAGATTTGGTTTTAGGACACTGACCTTGAGCTTCACGTCATATCTAAGTTATGTGCTGAAGCCGGTACTGTACTTTGGGTACCATCTCATGGAGACAATTAGCAATTTTACTTTTGCTTCTGAGAGGCTTTTTGTGGAGGAAGTACAGAATAACACCTTTGCTGCCTTTTACCATGATGTTTCCTCCTTCATTACAATAGTTTTTCGGTGTCTTTAACATCCTTGGGTTATTAAAATCCTTCTATTGGTACTACTTGGGAATACTGTTTGAGTTTTATCTAAGGTTAGCAAGCAATTTAAGACTACTATCCAGAGATCTGCCCCAAGGCTGGATAGTTATGAGTGGCAGGGTGTGTGGAATAGCATGGACAAATGCCTAGGGCAGTGGGCACCTCCAATCTTTTGGAACTTTAGTCCTGAACAAGTGCAGAATCCTGAAAAACTGGCAGAATATTTGGAAGAAGTATGCTGTCTCCCTGTTTGTACTGTGAGGGGAGACCTACAAAGTAGCATTTAAACACAGTAATTGAATTCATGATTGTTTTCAGGGATAGGTATGAAATCCATTTGTAAAGCTAGTATTCTTCTTGGGAGAGTAAGTGTAATCAGACTTCATTAACCAAAAACCTTTCTGCTTTGGGCTCTGTGTTTCATTGATTTGCTTTTGGGGGTATTTTGGTTGGTTGATGTTGTCCTGCCTTCTTGCATGCCATTTTGGTTTTTCCTCCTCTCCTCCTAGTTTTGTTGTAGTAGTAAAGCTGAAGGAGGTGGCCTTACTGCCCACCTTACTGAAGTTTGCTGTATAGTCTACAGAAGCTCCTGTCCTGTCAGTGAAGTGAGAGAGGTTCCTGGAAGGGAAGTTAAAGATGGAAAAGTGTTTGAGAGACTGAATAGCCCACTGAAGGAGTTTTCCTTTATAGTAGGGAACTTCTGGAGTTATCCCCTAATTAACACACACCACTTAGATGACTAAAGACTGTGGAGCAGGAATATCTCCATGCCAGGTCAGTGGTGGCTGCTCTGAACTCCTTAGCTTGGGCAGTGGAAAAGAGACTGAGCTGGTTTTGTTTCGCAGCAGCACGTGATGCCTTTCCAGTTTGAGAAGTGCATTCTAAATATTTTGCATGTCTTGCAGGTCTGGTGTGAAACGAATTTGCGAAGGTGCATCAGCGACTTCCATCGATTCATTTGCGAGACGTGTAACAAGGCATTCCCCATGCTTTCGGCGCTCAAACTGCACAGAGAAACCCATGTGATGGATCAGGGAAAAGACAAGCACAAGCCACAGTCCACCGCCCCACCTGGCGAGAACCTAGACCAGAAAGCCTTCATGGCATCCTTGGGCCTCCAGTACACCAAAGACATCAAGCCTGTCAAGCAGGAGGGCAATACACAGGACGAGGTCCAAGAAATGCAGCTCAGAGCACTGAAGAGTAACCTACCTCAGGAACCCGGCAGCACCGGTCTGCTCAGCCTCTCCCCTCTGGAAGCTGCCTCCATGGGAGGGTCATTTTCAGTCCTTCCCCCCACAAAAGAAAACATAAAGCTCCTCTCACTGCAGCCTTTCCAGAAGGGTTTTATCATCCAGCCTGACAGCAGTATTGTGGTAAAACCCATCTCCAATGAGTCTGCCATTGAGCTGGCAGACATTCAGCAGATCTTGAAGATGGCTTCTTCCGCTCCGCCTCAGATCAGTCTTCCTCCACTTTCTAAGGCACCTTCTGTCCCTGTGCAGTCCATTTTCAAGCATATGCCACCGCTGAAGCCAAAGCCTTTGGTAACACCCCGAACGGTCGTTGCGACCTCTACGCCTCCTCCTCTTATCAGTGCCCAGCAAGCCTCCCCTGGCTGCATCAGCCCCAGCCTCCCGCCTCCCCCCCTGAGGCTGATCAAGAACTCGGTGGAGTCCTCCTCCAACTCTCACCTCCCCCAGCCAGGAGCCAAATCGAGTCCTTCCTCACAGCTGCTCCTCCAACCCAAAGTAGAGCCTTTAACTCAGCACGAGATGAAGACGCAGCTGGAGCAGGACAGCATCATCGAAGCTCTCCTGCCTCTGAGCATGGAAGCTAAGATCAAGCAAGAGGTGACGGAAGGGGACCTCAAAGCCATCATCGCAGGGGCGGCAAACAAGAAAGCCCCAACCATGAGGAAAGTTTTGTACCCCTGCCGTTTCTGTGACCAGGTGTTTGCCTTCTCCGGTGTCCTGAGAGCTCACATACGTTCTCACTTGGGTATTTCCCCATACCAGTGCAACATCTGTGACTACATCGCAGCCGACAAGGCGGCACTGATCCGGCACCTGCGGACGCACAGTGGGGAGAGGCCTTACATCTGTAAAATCTGCCACTACCCCTTCACAGTGAAAGCCAATTGCGAGAGGCACCTGCGAAAGAAGCACCTCAAAGTGACCAGGAAGGATATAGAGAAGAACATCGAATATGTCACCAGCAACGCCGCAGAGATGGTGGATGCCTTCTGCTCCCCGGACACTGTGTGCAAGCTGTGTGGTGAGGACCTGAAGCACTACCGGGCCCTCCGCATTCACATGAGGACGCACAGCGGCTGCCAGAAGAAGAAGCCGTTCGAGTGCAAGGAGTGTGGCACAGCCTTTTCAGCCAAGAGAAATTGCATTCACCATATCCTCAAGCAGCACTTGCACGTGCAGGAAAGAGAGATTGAGAATTACATCCTAGCAGTGGACTGCAGCACCCAGGAAGGCCAGACAGACCCTTCTTTACTGGAAGACAGCACTTACATGGACCGCAAGTCCATGACGCCTTTCCTGGAGCCACAGAATGGCTTCTTGCTTGGGACGCCGTCTCACGTTCCCATCAAACTTGAACCTGCAGGCAACTTCCCGATGGATTTTGATGAGCCGTTGGATTTCTCTCAGAAGAACAAAAACCTGAGTGCCGTGCAAGTGAAGCAGGAAAACCTGTTTGGCTCTTCTCCCCTGTCCCTCTACGACTGTTCCATGGAGCCCATTGACTTGTCCATCCCCAAAGCCCTGAAGAAGGATAAAGATGATCTCCTATGTGAAGCCAGGAGTCAAGAGCTGGTGGCTTCGGGGAATGGTAAAAAAGCCTATAACTGTCTGCAGTGTCCTTTGGTTTTTGGTGCCAGTGGGAACTCAGAGCAAAACAGAGCTGTTAGACATCCCCAGCCACTGAAAGGTTCGTTACATTTGACTGTCCCGATCATTTCCCCGTCTCTCCTTGGCAATTCTGCCTTGCTGAGACCCTTGAGGCCTAAGCCACCACCGCCACCTCTCTTGCCAAAGCCTCCAGTAACTAAAGAGCTGCCACCGTTGGCTTCTATTGCTCAGATCATTTCATCTGTGTCTTCTGCTCCCGCTTTGCTGAAAACGGAGGCTGCAGACGCCAGTCCCACAGCAGTGAGCAGCTCCACTGGCTGCGAGAAATCAGGGAACGCCAAAGCAAAAGTGACAATCGTGACCGCCGTTCAGAGAGACTCCAGCCTGCCCGCTGACCTGACGCAGGCCTGTGACCCAGAGCAGTCTCCCGTTGCCGATGCTGGGTTGACTAAGAAAAGAGGTAGAAAGAAAGGAACGAAAAATAAGCCTAAACTTAGCTGTGGTGTGGATCTGGAGTCAAGTGGGGAGTTTGCCAGCATAGAGAAAATGCTGGCTACCACAGACACTAATAAGTTCAGCCCTTTTCTGCAGTCCACTGACAATTTCAAGGAAGAAAGCGGCAGAAATGGAACAAGTGAGGATGGGAAAGAAACTGCTGAAGATAAGCTGCTGAGACGGAAGAGGAAAGCTTACTCGGATTGCCTGCAAAATATCCCCTGTCCTTACTGTCCTCAAGTCTTTCCATGGGAAAATTCCCTGCAGCAGCACATGCTCACTCACACAGGTAAGAGCACCTTGTGCTCACGGTGGATTGCAGCCCCTGAGGACGTTCCTCATGAAAGGGCCTCTCCTTGGAGGGATCTTCCTTTCACATCCCCTCTCTGATGCCTGAAAAGTATTCTCCATCACTTTGCAAATCCTTACCCTTTACCGTGGCATAGCGGTGGGGGTAAGTTTTTTCAGTAATGGAATAACTTTCCTGCCTTTGAGTATCAGGGAGGCAAATTAAACTGCTGAAACCCGTTTTGATTTCAGTGGCGTAACTTGGCATAGCTGGGGAAAGAGGCTGTTTTCGGGTGTTCTGTTATCGCTGTCTTCTCTGGAAGGCGAACGCGTGCTGTTATTTCGTTGTGCCTTACGTGGTTTCTTCGGCTGCTTCCAGTGGCTGTTTGCCTGCATCAGTAATGATGAAAAGATCCGTAAGAATGAGAGCAAATAAGTGTAGAATTGTGGCAGGCATAAAATAATACAGCGTTTAGCGTTTTGTTTCTTGCGGTGGCTTTTGTTTGACACATCAAAGAAGGAGGAGGATGCGAGAAACATCGTCCCAAGCGTTACGTAGTGTCTTGCCTCTAGGAAATGTTTCGTCTCTGTGCTAGACAACTGAGGGTGGGCTCACGCCCAAAGGCGGGGAGATGTGTATGGAATCTTTAATACTGTGCCACGGTGTAAGTAACCTCAAACCTGGTGTAAACAAAAGGAGGAATCGGAGAGGAAGATTTATTCTGGGTTTGGGGTTGTTTTTCATTCTTCGCTATAAAGGAAATAGGGGTGAATGGTGTGCAGAGTTGAAGTTCACTCCTTTTTCCACCCACACTGTAATAAAATAATTAGTAGATTCTCATCCTGCTTGGAGAGAGGACAAAGCTCTAGTTGCTGTTGCTCCCTTTTAAGTCAGTCACAGTCGCTGATACTATGTGTTGCATAATGCCATCTCAGCTCCTGCTATGAAGAGTGGAAGTTAAGGATAGTTGTAAGAAACTTTAGATAGTACAGTCTCATAAGAGACAGTTTCATATTTTTTGATGGAATTGAGGTTTTGTGAAGCAACTGCTTCATGTCTGTGCTACAGAGGGAAACCTGAAGAGGTAAAAGAGGTTAGCTAAGAGGTTTAAAGGGAATCTGAGCCGTGGAGCAGGTCCCTGTTACAGTCTGCTTTGGGTGACGCGAGGACATAACTTGCGAGGTGTCAGTGCAACAGTGAGGCTATTGTTTTCTGGCCCACAGAGACCAATTTGTTTCATCTCGTTAAGCGTACAGTTTACTTTCAGTGGTGAAGGAGAGCTCTTTATTCCTATCAATTGTTTTCTAACACCCTGCTCTCCAAAAAAAATATATAGTTACTGAAAAACTGCTCATGAGACAGAAAACAATAGAGAGGCTTTTCCCAGATTAAGGGGTCTGACCTGCTTATTGATGGCAGACTTCCAAGGTAGCAGCACTGGTGTAAACCCTTAATGAAGACAGGAAAAGGCACTCGGCCATGCGTCGTACTGGTAAAACTTGTCTCCCCTACCACCACTGGGCTTGGAAGGAAGCACCATCCTTTCAGAAAGCCCGTGCTTCCCCCACGGCGATGGCAAGCGACTGCGGCTGTAGCAGGGCTGGGTCCTCAGGGCAGGGACAAGGTTTTTGGTGATGCTACAGCCGTGGCGATAATCAGATTCAGGTTGCTGTGCTCTGGTAGCGCTAGCACTCAGCTCTTTTCCAGTCATCATGGGAGCAGTGTTGAGGGAGACTTGTTGCTGGAGGACCACCCCACAGCAAGCTTTGACTCCTTCCAGGTGACACTAGCTCTCTGTTTCCAAACGGGGAGTTTGCAGCAGCTCCTGTGTGGCAGCAGTGGAGATGAAGGTGGCTGGAGGAGAGAGGGAGGGGTAAGATGAGAAGGTAGAGGAGATTTAGGCCAGGGAGGTGGTGCCAAAGCAAGCGCCAGGATGCATTCAGGTGCAGCGAGCCCTGTGTTTTTTGTGTCGAGTATGGGGTGCTGGTGGCATGGGAGGAGTTTGGCAGCTGCGTGATAGCTACAACAGTTGGCTGGGTTTGTGTTCTGGGTGGACAAGTCGGCTTTCTGGTGGAGACGTCTGCGGTGTCGTAGTGCAACGCACCGTTTCTGTCCGCACCAGTTCCACAGGCAGTGACTTGTTAAATAGCTCTGGTTTTTAAAAGGGGTTAAGAAACAATTCTATTCACTGATCTTACTGTAAAGAGAAAAGGGGAACTTTATTGTCTGGGCCTGACGGCTGCTCCCTGGCCTGGGGAGAGAAAGGGCCAAGAGGCTGATGTGAATGGGACAGGTGAGAGTCCCGGTGATCTGCTTCCAAACAGCATGTGTGGGTATCTGCTCCATAGGGAATCACTGCAGGCAAGCTGGGCCGTGTGCCTAGGTTTCTGCAGTATGCTGCTGTCAGAAAACCAAGATAGTCCTTTGAGATAAAAAGTGGCAACTAGCTCTTCTCCATCCATTTGTAGGGAAGTTGTTATTGGGGTAATTTGTGTAGGTGGTGTAAACTAGTAATGAGTGAGCATGCTCGAGGAAAAGGGACATAATTTTGAGCATTTAGATAGTATCTATATATTGCCAGTTTTAAACTACAGGTTTAAGATTTTTACAGGTGTGTCTTTCATGTTCGATAAAATTTCAGCATGGAGGACTCCTTCCTGCGGTGTCAGGATCACATTTACCTTTTGTGAAAGTGCAAGAACACACATGCTGCCAGTAACCCATGTATTGGGTTTGCATGGGAAGGTTTTGGTAGCGGGGGAGGCTAGAGGTAGTAGCTTCCTCTGTGTCCGACAGAGCCAATGCCAACCGGCTCCGAGACAGATCTGCTGCTGGCCAAGGCTGAGCCCAGCAGTAACGCTGGTAGCGGCTCTCG